TCTAGAGAATTTTTTCTCATCTAATCATCATGCGTTGGGTGGAAAGAGATTGTCTGTAATAGTTAATAATGGCCTCATTGCTAGCTATATACCCTACCAGAGGGAGACTGTACAAAAGTCGATTGCTTGGGTACCTCTGTCCTATTCGTGTTTCTACCGTGAAGCAGTTGTGTTTGCATGGCTGTGTTTCGGTTTGAAGGATCGGATATGGCGTGAATTTACAGGGTACAGAGGAATAACACCTGAGTCCTCAGGAATGGCAACGCATGGGGGGTATCATGGGCGAAACAGTGTACTCTGTTATGTCCATGGTACTGCTCATGTCTATAAGCGACGGTTACCACTTTCCATCAGGTGGGCCATCAGCTTATTTGCCATTTTAAGTCGTATAAAAAAAACCAGATCGACCTCTGTCTGCTCTTATTTATCAGTTGCTCTTGGAAACCTGATTGTGACGAATTCAACAAAAAATAAACACGATGTTTAATTCTTGCTGAATTCGTCACAGTGAGCTAACTGAGCTAACTACATCCTCACTTATCATCACTCTCGTTCCCCACCAGTTTACGCCAATAGCGCAAACGGGGTGATCATTTCATTTTAATCCTTGAATTTGAATTTTGAAAATCAACGTACGCCGTATAATAATTTCGTCAACTATAGACACAATTAAAACTAAAACATCAGTTAAAAGACTACGTCCGTGGTCATATCGAGCAGTACAATAAATTGGTTATGCGGCATATTTCCCTTATACCGGATGTAGTCAATTTGAACGGTGCTCGCGACGCAGGCGTGCCGTCCGCAGTCGTTGGAAGGCCACAGTAAAATGATCACCGCGGATCCGTCAACGGAAACGAACAGCCATTACTGTGACTGTGCCATAAGAAAACATCGAACAATCGAATAATATTTATACCAATTGTGACGAACTAACGAACTAGATGTGGCCAAGTGACAATGTAGTGTTAATAGTGTAAGTGTGAGTCCATTTTCATAGTGTTAGTGGTATCACTGCAATGTGATACCACCAAAAACAGCCACCACGGAAACTGTTAAGAAAGATACAAAGCGACCGAGAAGGAGACGCATCTCCGATATGAGGTGAGAATATGTCAAGTATGAAAACAGATAGAGAATGTACCAAAGTCCATTAGTATTTCAACAGCTATGTCGTTGTATTAGCACGGCAAATTTTTTTTGATGGATGAAAATAGTATGGCAACCCCGCCTGCGCTAACGGGAGACACTGGCGGAGCACCAGTGAAGGGTGATAGATGAAAATGAAAACAGGTCAGTTAGCCCATCATGATGAATTCATCAGGAATTAACCATGATAGTTTCCAGGGAGAACCGCGAGGAGGTCGACCTGGTTGGGTATATTGCTAGCAATGGGATTCTCAGTCTCCATTACTAACATCCCTTTCCCCTCTTGCACGGCTATTTTGATTCGAAAGGTGGGATATGATAATGAAATTACGTGGTACGAAGATGAAAAATTTTAAATCTTCAGGAATATTAACGGTTAAGAGATTCGTGGGCATCATGGTGAATTCTTTGATATCCATGGTGCTCATATGTTTAGACGCCGTTGAATTTCCACTATTACTCATTTCTATGAGGTTAGTTTTCAGCTTTTTTGCCATTCTGAGTTTCAAAGGAAATACTTAGTTTCGAAGTTCCACAGCCAAATTTCATGCTTATGAACAATGCCAATATACATTCATATACCTAAGAAATTGGGTCCGTAGACAGAGAGTGATTCTTTACACCTCATAAACTCTAATATAGTATCCGATCAATCTAAATTATAAAATTTTGACAATATTTCTTTAAACATTTTTAATTCGTTTTGTTCCGTTTGGTTTCGGAGAACTGATCATGACAAGCATCGATATCACCCTAATTTAAAAACTACACTCTGGTCGATGGAGCTCTTGCCACTCAGTGCGATTTTCAAAGAATCACTTTTTTCTTACACACTTACTACTTACACTTTTTTTTTCTGCCTGATATAAGTAGAGTGAAAAAACAAATTTATAATAAGTATTCCATAATGTACCCAGTTTTATCCAAAGAAACTGCTTTCCGAACGGGCTTCAGTACCATAAACATACGCTACTGCAGATTATGCAAAAGATGGAAGAGTATAATGTGCCACTATGTTTAGCATCTGTGGATTATAAGAAACCCTTTGATTCAATCAAGATAAGAGCAGTATTACTGTCCCTCCAGCGATACCAGATTGACTATAGGTACATCGAAGTCTGAAGTGCAGGTAACAATATGGCTACGATGCCTATCTGAGTACAGAACCCGCGTAAAAAACCTATCCCAGAGCAGAAAGGTGTAAAACAGGTTGACACACAGCCACAGCTGTATTGAAATATGTTTTCAAACTCCTGACCTGGAAAATAAATGTATCAGCATTAATGGTGAATAAATCACTCACTTTTGATTTGCCCATGGTATAGTAATCATGGCGGACTTGAATACTCAAAGATCTTAACAGTGCTTCTCAACAGGTAGGTATTAAGATCATCATGGACAATACTAAAATTATGTCTAAAGTTCATGTCAAATCTGCGAGAAAGATGGTCCTGCACGGTTGGCCATATTCTTCAATTTCCTCAGCGAGCTATGCAGTTGCTCTGAGTTTCTATCCGAAATAAGAATATTGGCAGAAGAACTACAATGACTGCCGTAGCCCGAAGGATAAGCAAGCTGAAATGGCATATAGTCCCATAGCTCGAATAACTGATAACCAATGGGGAAAAAAGGTTCCTGAGTGACGACCCCGTAGGGGCAAACGCAGTGTAGGATGACCTCTCACTAGATGGACCGTTCCTTATGGCAGTCTATGGGGGAGGCCTATGACCAGTAGTGGACGGATAATGGCTGAAATGATGATGATGGCTCCGAGAACCGACAACCGATGGGGGGGACAGATTGTTAGTCAATTAAAATGATCAAGTAAATAACTTATATAAGTTTTTATGCTAACTTGAATTAATTTTATTAACAGTGAACCACCCCAGCTTCACACGGGGGGGGGGGGGATTAAGAATCCCATTGCTAGCAATATACCCAACCAGGTCGATCTCTACGCGGTCAATCCTGGAAACTATCGTGGTTAATTTTTGATGAATTCATCATGATGGGCTAACTGGCCTGTTTTCATTCTCATCGATCACCCTCCACTGGTGCCCCGCCAGCGTATCTCGTCAGCGCAGGCACGGTTACTAATCCATTTTCTACCAATGAAAAAAATACGATACAACCATCAAATTAGTATATATTTATAAAGTATGGCCATGTGGTCCTAGCATAGAATGGGCCGCCACATCCTTTCCCGTGGGTGTCGTAAGAAGCGACTAAGTGGTTAGGCTTTGATATCTTAAAACATAACCAAAGCCTAATTGCTGTTACTAACCTACCTGCCAAACGTGGTAACTGCTGGCAAAAACCTCCCGATAAGGGAGGCCTATATAGTTCAGCAGTGGACAGTTAATGATTATGATGATGATGACGATTATACCAAATGTTAAATCGTTGTTTATTAACCGCGAAAAAAGTTTAAATTATAACCGACTTCAAAAAAAGGAGACTATTCTCAAATCGCTAGTATTTCTTTTATAGCTGTCACCTTATAACTTAATTTTTGTATCAATCGATTTGTAAATCTCTTTAACTGAAAAGATACACTTTTAGACTTGTTTAATAAAAATTTAATGAAAATTAGTACAGTAATTTGGTTTTTACATTAACTGGTTTTACCATCATTGAAATCGGCGTTTTTTTTTATATGCAACATAATCTATTGTATTCCTTTTTATAAAAGAATATAATAATTAATTAAATTGTGTCCCATAAAAGAAAACTGACTTCGTTTATGGCAAAACCCGTTATTTAAAAACTAAATCACTGAATCGATTATGATATAGTTTCTATGGGTTCAATATGTAAGTAGACATTTTGAGATAAAAAAAAACAATAAAGAATTTTCCAAATCGGTTCACAACTAACGGAGTTATGAGGCATCATTTTAATTCACGCGAAAAGGGTTACTGGAGGAAATCTCTCATTAGAGATAAACTCGCCTTTGTACATTACATTTAAAATTAATTGTTCCAATCATTATGTTTGTGTACAATAAAGTATAAAGAATAACAAACATTAAGCATATGCAGATAATACAGATATTTCCTCGTTGAATATAAATTAAAAAAAATTTAAATTGTACATTATGCAACTGTATCTTTCTTGAATAAAAATATTATTAAAAAGAAAATATACAATCGACTTTTTTTAAATCGTTTGAAAAGAATACTTCGTTATCTAAATATCCCCTTATGGTTCTGGTTGGTTTTAATAGATAATAAATATTTTAAAATTCGAATCGAAAAACTTATTTTTTTAATTCGATTGAAAAGACTACTTAATTGTCTATATATCCTTTTATAGTTCTAAGTGGTTTTAATAAACAATAAATATTTTGAAATTCGAATTGAAAACCTCCTTCTTTTTTTAATTCGATTGAATTTTTTTTTAATTTTCTCCCGTCAACACTCGGGTTATGGAATGAGCTCCCTGCTTAAGTATTCCCAAAGGGTAAAGAGGTTACTTCAGGGTCGGCAACGCGCGCCACGTAATACCCCTGGTATTGTAGACATTCATAGGCTACGGTAACCGCTTATTATCAGATGGGCCGTATGCTTGTTTGCCACCTTATTGCTATAAGAAAAAAGAGTACTTAATTATTTAAGTATCCTTTTATAATTCTGACTGATTTTAATAGACAATAAATATTTTGAAATTCGAATTGAAAACCTTCTTTTTTTTTAAATTCGATTGAAAAAAATACTTAATTATCTATATATCCCTGGTAGTTCTGGGTGGTGTTAATAGACAATAAATATATTCTGTGTTCCTAGTGAGTGAACTAGTATATACCGGAAACTGTACTACGGTATAGGTATCTGTCTCAGTTGTACTGTATATAGGGCGGCGATAACGCGCGTGTATTGTGTCACACAGAACCAGAGTGCGGCGGCGGGCCTATAAAAATGAAGCAATAACAAATGTTATTGACAATAATTTATTTTGGTACACAGTGTTGAATCGATTAGTGATAGCGTCGGGACTCAGTTAACAAAATTATATAAGTGAGACTGGACATTTTTTTTTTTAATGTAACGCGAATCGAACTAGCAGAAAAAATCTAACGGCCCGCCTGGTAGAAAGTGGTCACTGTCACCTACAGACATAAGCAGTAACGTGGTTATGGCAAAATACCAAGTGACACCAATCGATTACGTTCCCATAGAACTGAGATGGTAATTAGCACGTGCACATTCTATAATGACCACGGTGCTGACTATAGGCGACGGTCACCACTCACCGTCAGCTTGTTCACCATAATGATTATCGTAAAACAATATACCAATGAAATGAAAATGACCCACCTTCGTTTTTCTGCAGGGTTGACTTCCGCGGACTGAAGTGTGCATCAGCACTCCGTAAAGTTGCGATGTATGAAAGTAGTTGTTCCTACGCCGGCGCTCTTGAATTGAAGCGAAGTGCCCTCAAGGAGGAACCGTGGCCTACGGCGGAATGGCCCCCCTACCGGTTACACCAATCCACCTTCGAGCAGCTCAAACAGAGTGTAGAAAAAGCAAAAGCAGCATTACAAGACAGATCGGGGCTTCTCGGGACAGCGACCGCCTTCGGTGACTTCTACGGTGGACAGTTGGGACAGGATGGTACAGGGACGGCGTTGGGATTTGGAAGGACGAGGACAGACGAGTCGATGCTAGGAACTATTGATAAGAATAAAACATTAGGTGAGTGATTCATAATTTTTATTTTATTTTTAAGTGCATTTAAAATATTTGGTCCTTAAATCGACACTAATATTAGAAAGAGGAAAGATTTGTATTTTTGTGTGTATGTGTATGTTTGTAATGAATACACTCAAAAACCACTGCCGATTGCAAAAATTCTTTCACCATTAGAAAGCTACATTTACCCTGAGTAACATAGCCTATATTTATTGCTAGAAAAGATTAGAAATCCTTACTAAAACTTTAGTAACGTAACTCAAGGTGTAAAAAATGCTATAAAATATCTTTCGTCGCGCGCGCTGCGGAAACTATTGGCAATAGAACAAAAGTATGTTCTACAATATTGAAGAAAATATCAATAACTACAAAAAACTTCGCGATACTATATACGACATATGTCCAACTAATATTGTTATGTCACAATATATATATATATATATATATATATATATATATATATATATATATATATATATATATATATATATTCAATTTGTCATAGCTTACATTTCCATCAAATATGATATACTAAATATTATCACATTTGTGCTCAATAATTTTTTTCACCGAGTAGAAACACTCTTGTAAGAGCCACTCTAACGAGGTTTCTTTTTTGATGGGTGAAAATGGTATGGTAACCCCGCCTGCGATAACGGGATACGGGGAACGGGATAGATGAGAATGAAAACAGACCAGTTAGCCCATCGTGATGAATTCATCAGGAATTAACCATGATAGTTACCAGGGAGAACCGCGAGGAGGTCGACCTGGTTGGATATATTGCTAACAATGGGATTCTCAATCTCCATTACTAACAATCCCTTTCCCCCCCTCCAACGAGGTTTGTTTATATTGATTAAAACCTAAATTCTTTAGGGATTGCATTATAATACAATTGAAAAGAAGAAGAACCAACAAAAGAAGGTATGAAGGTACTGGAGTCGTTTGTACTGATACCTCTGTCTACTAATCTAAAATAAAAACCACTATTTCGATTATTAAGCAAATTTAAACATTATGCTTATTAAATAAAGTGTCTTATTGATAAAATACGGTGCAGTCCAATTGTCAGGGGGAGAGGGATTGTTAGCAATGGAGTTTGACAGCCCCATTGCTAGCAATATGCCCTATTAGGTCGACCTCCACGTGGTTCCTCTGGAAACCATCGTGAACAATTCTTGTTGAATTCGTCACGATGGGCTAACTGACCTGCTTCATACTCACCTATCATTCTTCACTGGTGCCCCGCCGGTGTATACCGATAGCGCGGGTGGGGTTACCATTCCATTATCACCCGTTAAAAAAAAAATAATAATAATAGCATTGTACGCCGGTTTCTCTCGCTGGGGCCCTGAACCCCGGCCGACTGTGCTTCTGCCGGGGGTTAGTTGCCATCTCCTCTCCTTAAGAGGGGAGATGAGAATTATAGTAAAATTTAAAAAATAATAATAATAAAAAGTCCAATTGTCAATTCATTTTAATTTATTATATAAATAAAAAAGTTTAATATTAACACGATAAATATAAATATTGATAAGCAATTGATTAGACAGCAAGTTATAAGAAAGTTGTTGAATAAGTGCTTCCCTGTGGAAAGTCACTTAAATAACTGACTTGGCTTTACATAAGAACACGCACCGTTTTAATAGTGGAAAAACTGCGTAACGAGACTTGGCATTCTTTTACATTGAATTACAATTTTTAATCAGATAGGCTGTCAATTTGTTTGCCAGTGCCGTGAAAAAAAAATATTAAAAAATAAAATTGAGATTGGCAACATTATAACCTTCAAAAAAAGAACATTCCTTTTTAAAAGGATGGAAGCACACCTGCAATGCCGTTGGTGTTGTGGGTGATCATGAGCGGCGGTAGTCACTTACCATCAGATGAGCCGTACGCTCGTTGCCTGCTCGTAGTAAAAAATTTTTTTTTAATTACCATGTAATTAAATACATTTGCTTGTTACGTTACATTAAAATATTAATTTTAGGCCACACGTGGGCTAATATATAATAAATACATCTTCAAAATTAATAGACGCATATCAGCTTTCTATTACAGTATCTTCAAAATATGGAATATCAGGGGAATCCATTTGTAGCGTCGTAACATAAAATGATAGAGCGAGGCATCTTAAATTTTTACAGCAACTCGTTTTATACGCCACATTATAGAAGGTTCACTGTAACTTCAATGGCAGATATCTTCTCACATACACAGCCATTCAGAAAGAATAATATCGATTCTTCACTGTGAGAAAATGCCAAGGGAAAACAACCCTTAAAACGTACAACCAAAGTGTATATCTGCACAACGGGCCACTGAAGTTAAACCCTTTAAGATTAAGCTTTCTGGTGTAGGTATAAAGAGACGGAAAGCAAGGTGGGGAGCCAGCATCTTCATAGATAACAATCGGCATCAGGGAGCGTGACGGGGGCGTGCGGGATTTTCCCCCATTGTTGCTATGGCAACGCGCCCGCCCATAACCCGCCCCCGAGATGAGCGGATAGCCACCAAATACTATTCAGTTACGAAAACAAAATGATAATGTATGGGCAAGACACCTTCCAGGGTTAGCTTGAAAATTAGATATTACAGCAACATTAGCAAGCTCTTAGTAACTTCTAATATTCAAATTAGAATATGTCATTTTTTTTTATAGGAGTTAAAATGAAAACAAGCAAACGACCAACCTGATGTATAAGCGAACTTTACTATTTTCCATTAAGTTTTTTTTATACAACTTAGAATGGCAAACAACCTGACGGCCCACCTGATGGAAAGTGGTAACCGTCGCCTATAGACATGAGCAGTACCATGGACATAACAGAGTATACTGTTTCGCCCATGATACCCCCGATGCGTTGCCATTCCTGAGGACTCAGGTGTTATTCCTCTGTACCCTGTAAATTCACACCATATCCCATCCTTCAAACCGAAACACAGCCATGCAAACACTTGAACTTGCTTTACGGTTGAAATACGAATGGGACAGAGGTGCCCAAGCAAACGACTTTTGTACAAAGTTTCCTCTGGTTAAGTAAAACTTGAACATAGTATAATATATATATATATATATATATATAATACATTGTGAAAATATAAATACTTCTCATGTGTTACCAAATCCAAAGGTTTATATCTCCGTTACCATAAAAACTTGACACTTTTCCTATTATTAAAAAGTCTATAATTTCATTTATTCAACCACTTTAACTGTACGGTTTTTATCCTCGAACATTCTATAGTTTTCCTTCAGCTTCTCAATGGTTGACTGTAAAAAGATCTCTTATCTCTTTGTGGGATAAGTCCGCCATTGTACATTAAATGTGTCCTATTTAAATTATATACAATATTTTTTTACAATAACAACAATATATAATAAAAAAAACATATATGAGTAATATACATATAGGCATCAATTTCTATTCAAAAATATAACAAAAGAAGCATTAAAAATACTATCTGTATTATATATATATTTGAAAGCTGCTAAGGACATTTGTTACTCGATCACGTTTAAATTGCTGATCTTGTTTTAATGTAATTTTGTAAACAAAAATTAATAATTGTCGATTAATATCAAAGATCGCCGTGTGTGTCCCAGCAAAGAATAGGCCACCCCTTCCTTTCCCGTGGGTGTCTTAAGAGGTGACTATGGTAGGGCGAGTGATGGGCAGCAGCGTCCCTCTTAAAACATCTCTAAAAGCCTAACTGCGGTTGCCAACCCGCCTGTCAAGCGTGGCAATTACTGGCAAAACTCGTCTTATGGGGAAGACAATATATTATTATATATTAATTATTTCTATTATAAACTACGCAAGCAAAGCCGCAGTAACAATATTTATTATAGCAGATGTATTGTTCAATTTAAAAACCTATCTTCTCGGCCTCAACCTATTTCCCTTTAAACCTTTGTAGTTATTTCCAATCGAATTTATCATTACGGACCAACTGAGGTACGTTCATTCTCACCTATCATCTCACCAGGGCCGTAGTTGGACCCAAGTTTAAAGTAAGGCAAAAAAAATTTTTAATAGGGCAAAAGCCATAATTAAATAACTTTGAAAAAACGAATGTAATTGACTTATGACCTTTCATTTTAAGATAGGACATTGGGCCTTTCAAGGTAAGGCATTGCCCTCCAGCTACAGCCATGTCTCTTACTGGTACTCTGCCAGCATATACATGCAGAATAAACAGAATAACCATTCCATTTTCACCCATTAAAAGGAAACCTTCCAAACAAACCTTATAAAATTTCAGAGTCTCGAAATGAGGAGCTTTTGTGTACAAAGCGCACGAGAACTCAGATTACGTCGACAAAAGAGCGTCTCACGAGAAAGACAATAACATTTTTCACCATTAAAAAACGTCGACAATTCATAAAAAATGTAAATTGCGAGGCACGACCGCCATTGTGCCCGCTGGGGGCGCGGTGACTCGTCTCAGACCTTCCGCATTCAACTTTAATGAAATAGGCATATCTACTTCATTCGATAGTCCGTCGAGTTTCATTTCAGCTTTCAATAGGCAGTTTTAAAGGTCTTTTTTAGATCTGTATTTATCGGAAACTTTTATACAGGCGCAGTTTTATCTCTCAACAGTCATTTGAGTATATTTAACGATACTCCATTAGAACGTCAATTTGAAAGCAATAACTACCATTAAAAAGATGTTAAAATGCTCTTAATCCTATTTTATCTATTTGTTTTATGATAAATGAGCAATTAGTAGTTTTCCTTGCGCATAATGTTCTACAGTTACATTATTGTAACTATCATTATATATTTATTTTTAAATGGTTTTTATTTCAGTATATTTTAAATTGTATATGGCATTAAATATTTCAGTAGGTACAAATATAACTTTTTTAGCCATCATCCATCATATCAACCTTTAACTGTCCACTGCTGGACATAGCCGGGGAGGCGTATGTCCAGCAGATTGGGGGGGGGTCTTGCCAGTAGTTGCCACTCTTGGCAGGTGGCTTGACAATCGCAGTTAAGCTTTGGAGATGTTTTAAGAGAGACGCTGCTGCCCATCCCTCGCCTTCCCTTAGTCGCCTCTTACGACACCCACAGGAAAGGAAGGGGTCGCCTATTCTATCCCGGTACCAGACGGAATACCTTTTGCTACGGTAAAATTAATCTAACTACTTGGAGCTAATTCCACTAACTTAGGCGTTACGACGTAATAACAAATATTCAGAGATATTTTTGTATAAATTATATAAAATTAAAGCCGGAATCTTGTGTTTACATTATAACATTGTTAATTCTTACTTAAGAGCAAAATACTCGTAACAAAATTATTATAGGCGTGCATTTCTTTACGGAATCTCAGCGCCATCTACAATCCGAGACATTATTTGATAAATAGCCCGCCCGAGCCAAGAATACTAAACAGAAAACGGGCAAACAGGAGCGTATTTGCATAATATTCAAATAAGTGCAAAAATCCACGCGCCCACTGTCACGGGAGCCGAGTAATCTTAGTCATTAGAGAGAACATATTAAAATTTATAAGCGCCAGGGGACTGTAAAGAGTTGTTAACACGAAAATGATTATAGTACGCCCCTCGACGGCGGTTTGGACCGTTTACCCTGGCTATCGGTCTAAAATATCTACACAGTACAATTGTCGTCAATTACGACTCCATACTTTAGATGGTATCGTGATAAAATATATATCAATAAATCATGCTACAACTGGCCTGATACGCGTATATTGATTTTTTTAATGTTTATTGCATAAGCGAAAGGGTGGGGCGTTTGTTGTTTTACAATTTATATTCATTAGCGGCGAGCGAGCGCCGGGAGAGACTTCGGCTAGTTACGGATTTCGTGTCGGCGACCAGAATCGAACTCGATTCTCAAATATTATTGCAGGGGATTGATTTTTAAGCGCTTTAGGAAAGTTGAAAATTTTGTATTGAGCATTTTTTATTATGTATCATTACGCGTTATTTACTCAAATATAAACTGTTTATAATAACTTTTTTATAGTGTGTGTCCTATTGGATTTTTTTTTTTTTTTTTTTTTGTTGTTTTTTTATGGAATAAAATCTTAAAATTATTATTAAATAACTACGTTCAAATAAATGTATTTAGGTTCCGAATGCACTAGGCCTAAATGGCAAGGTAAATTAATTTAAAACCAAATATATGTACTTAAATATTTCTAGCGACCCGCCCCGGCTTCGCACGGGTGCACATTACATCACATCACATTAGAAACCTCTAAAATTATCAGTGTTTCTCTACTATATTATTACATGCATAATATGCATATTATACATATAAACCTTCCTCTTGAATCACTCTATCTATTAAAGAAACCCGCTTCAAAATTCGTTGCGTAGTTTTAAAGATTTAAGCATACATAGGGACAGACAGACAGCGACAGTGACTTTGTTTTATACTATGTAGTGAAATACATTTGTGATTTTATTTTTTACAATAAAATAATTACGAATACAATACATAAGTTTACAATAGTTCCATGTTACTTACATACTAATTAATTCCATTTAAAGTCTATTTTTACTTGTATATAATCTAATGCCTTGAACGAATTAACACAAGTATATTCAGCCCTGGGGGATACCTTAAAGTGTTGTCGATGAGTGATGACGCGATGGTATTAGTCGATGACATTAGTTCTCCCCGGGAAACGTGACTCATCACAACATCAACGGACACCCCGCTGGTAGTGTAGTGTTAGTTATTCGATGCATTATCTATTTACTGAATGATTTGTCCATTTATTGCTAGGTATGGTTTGAATAAAAAAATATATAACAACATTACAGACTCATTCCGAATTTGCATGCTTGCAAATTATACATACAAGCCTTCCGTATAAAATATCCAAATTACAGTGAAACCCGTATTAGAATTCGTTGTGTGGTTTATAAGAAGTGAGCCAAGAAACAGACAGACGCATACAGTAACATTTTTATACTATTTAAAAAAGATATATTCGTATCAAACCAAATATACTAAGTTATCTCTAAATTACAATATATAATTTATAGCAAACCAGACTTTGTTCTGTCGAATTTACAATTTATATATTTGTAGCAGAATCAATAGGCTTTGTTATATCGAATTTATAATTAATATAATCCTAGTAGACTCAATAGACTTTGTTCTATCGAAATTACAATTTATTTATTGGTAGCAGAATCAATAGGCTTTGTTCTATCGAATTTACAATTTATATATTTGTAGCAGAACCAGTAGATTTTATTCTATCGAATTCATAATTTATAAAATCCTAGTAGACTCAATAGAGTTTGTTCTGTCGAATTTACAATTTATATATTGGTAGCAGAATCAAAAGGCTTTGTTCTATCGAAATTAGTGTTATATGAATATATAAAATTAAACCCAATAAACTTTACATGATATTACAATTTATATACTACGAATAGTAACAGATCCAATAGACTTTCTACTGTCGAAATTATATTTGTATATTAACAGTTGACTCGACAAATTTTATCCTGTGTTGATTTCATTTCATAGAATAACAAAGTATTCTTATACCAATATATGTAAATAGAGATACTCATAAATCCAAAAATGTATTGTGCGGGGATCGAATCCGCAATCAGTGGAAAGTAATGCGGTAGAAGGTAAAAAGAGCAAAACCTAAATTAACATGTTACGATTATTTTATTAAACACTTTGTAAACTGCTCCCCTTTAAAATCAAACAAACAGACTTATTATCAACACTAGTAAGCCAATAAGCCAAACCAAGTACTCGACAATTCTCACAGGATCATCCCCATTCAACAGACCCTTCGCAAACAAACAATTATTGCACAATCAATGGCCACTCACGGGTAGATAAGTATAAATCAGCGTTCATAATGCAGCGAACGTCGAGTGACAACTTAGTTTCGTTGTCTGACAATAGATGGCGTTTTGCCACGCGAGCGCCAGTGATGCGCGCGCGCACCCCGTAAACATTGCGCGTTTGTTATGGCGCGCATTTCATGGGAACCGTGATCTAAACAATGTATGCTTAATTGTGTATGAGCACCAGTAATGATGATACTCCCCTCTCGCGCTGAGATTTATGCGTTTACCATGACCGTCCCAAAAGTGGCCCGACATATTTATTTTCTACGAATAAATTGCTACAAACATATTGCGCGGAGTGATACGCAATGATAAATTACATTTTTTAGCGTGGGAGAAACGTTTTTTTTTTTTATTTTATAGAATCTGTTTTCGGTCGATTTCAAAAAGAGACGATTTTAATTTGTTTGTATTTTTCCTGTGACCGATTTTAGTACATCTTTTTTTTCTATTTGAAATTGTAATTTTTATTTATAACCAAAATTGAAATAAAAAATATGGAGAACACAATACTTGATATATCTAACATTATCTTATTAAAATAAATATATATTTGTCCACCAGGCTCAGAGAAATTATCAGGAGGTCTCGGCAAGGGTTACTCCACGCCGACTCTGTCGGACACACTGCGCGCTACAAAATGTACAGGTAAGTGCATGGGAATGTATTGAAAATAAATAAAAAGATCATGCGACTTTACTTAAGATACGGAGCGCATTTTGAGAATTTAAAAAAATGTATTTAATTACAATATTATAAAAAATATTATTGCTAAACTAACTTAATAATGATAAAATTTATTTATTTATTTTTAACTATAACATTTAAGTCGATTGGTATACACGTATGCCTGTAATTACTAATAAACTGTCAATTTATCTCATATTGGGTTTGCTGGAGGAAATCTCTTTTAGAGATAAACTCGGTTTTTAATCGTTTTTCCTTTTTGTATACAATAAAATATTATAAAGAGGAATGATTTGTGTTTTTGTGTGTATGTTTGTAATGAATAAACTCAAAAACCACTTTGCAGATTCCAAAAATTCTTTCACCATTAGAAAGCTACATTTACCCTGAGTAACATAGGCTATATTTATTGCTAGAAAAGATTAGGGATCCTTACTAAAACTTTAGTAACGTAACTCAAGGTGTAAAAAATGCTATAAAATATCTTTCATCGCGTGCGTTGCGGTAACTTTTGGTGATAGAACAAAAGTATGTTCTACAATATTAAAGAAAATATCAATAACTATAAAAAACTTCGCGATACTATATGTCCAACTATTATCGTTAAGTCACAATAACCACTTTTTAAAATGTTGTAAAAATGTTTACCCGTGTGAAGCCGGGACGGGCCGCTAGTATACAATAAAGAAAGAAAGAAAATCACAAGTGGCATCATATTCATACGATCGGCTTTCAAATGCAGCGTTGCATTATGGATGCCCTTGTTAGCAGTTTACCAGGCGTTACGCCATGCTAACTTTTGACATAACCAAATTTTTCATTGTACGAAATCACAAAATAACTACCATGCCTAGAAACAGACACTCATTCGTCAAATTTAATACTGTCTGCAAATCTATTTTGTTTATTACAAACTATTTTTATATTTACAAATTTACAAAAGGAAAAGACATAATAATTGCGTGCTGCGCGGTTTTAGAGATGTTTCCTCCCACGAACACTCAGGTTGTGGAATGAGCTCCCTGCCGAGGTTTTCGACAATCGTAATTTTTTTAAATCTACTGCAGGATTCGGAAAGTTGTTGTCTGTTGATCGATTCTATAGTTTATAGACAATTGATTCTATCATATCGATATATCGGCATCATAACAGTTATTCGATTCTATTTTTAGAATTAATTAATTTTAGACACAACCAAGTTACTATTGAAACTGAAAAAAAAAAAAGATTGATACGTACATTTTTAGAAACCGCATTATTTCTAAACGGACAAAATAAACTTTTTGTCCGTTTAGTTCTAATAAAATCATACTGCAAATAGTAGAATTACATAGTAAAAAAAAGTCCGTTTTTTTTCTGTCTGTAGTGTGATAGAACTAAATCCTAGAACTTAACGGATATAATCACATCTTTTAATCAATTGTACATGATAATTTTATGCACTTATACATATGCATATATATTTATCTATTTACTTATTTACATATTTATTTATTTATTCATTTATTTATTTATTTACATATTTATTGACAATAGTGTTTAATGTATTTACATTATTTTCACTGGTACCTTTTCTGCACTGGATTACCCAAATTAAATTATTTTCTCTCTAACTACACTGGGTTCGCTGGAAGAGATCTCTTTCAGAGATAGGTCCTTCCTTGCTAACAAGTTGTTAAACTAATTGTCGAATATATTGTGTCGAATATACTGTTTAAGTGCAATAAAGAATATATATATATATATATATATATATATATATATATATATATATATATATATATATATATATATATATATATATATATATATAATCTGAGTTTATCGAGTCTTAAGTCTTAAAACACAAAAGTTAGTTATCAATATTAATACTTCTGTACTCTACCCTTATTTGGTATATCAACTTAAACATGTAATCGTCAAACAAACAGTCATTAGACCAAATAAATATATCAAAATGACTATTCGTGTCAAAATGGTAACAAAACAAACACATAACGCACTGATGTATATAATTAAAAGTAATAACACGATACGATCAGAGAATAGTGAAAAAAAAATCGTGGTAAACAAAACCGAGCACGCAGCCACGAGAAATTTGCCTATTAGTAACACTAAAAATGACAATCTGATATCATTATCATTCAGAGAGCGTGACTAATGTGGCACGGTGTACAATACAAGTACTATTCAAACGCGCCACCGACCGAGATGAGTTCAGCGAGGCCCTCTGAGAGAACGGCAACTTTTAATTGTCCCCATCCTTTGAGGTCCTTTGAGTTCACGCTTCGGCAACTCCACTTAGTCTTTGACATCGACAAGTTAAATGTAGTGAACTATTTTTTTGTTCATCAGCCCACAAAGACAGTAATGGTTTGGAAACTGTACAAACTCGTGAAAGGGAATTTTGACCCTTGATTACTTGTATTAATCGATATATATATAAATATATATATATAGTCGTATAAAATGGGCCACCAAAAGGAGGCCTTTTCCATCAATGTTTATAAGAGGTCACTAAATTTCATACCAGCAGTGTTCTTCTTAAAACATCACCAAAGGTTAACCGCGGTTGCCAATCGTGGCAACTACTGGCAAACCACCAAAGAGAGCATCTACATTCAGCAATAGATAGTTAACGTTTAATATAATAATATCTCTCGCTAGCATCAAAACCCTTGTGAAGTCTTACTATCTCTCTTTTTGATTATTTTCTCGTGTTTTCTCTTCATCTTCCACTTTCACGATTCATGATTGATGATGAATCATTTCTTACCAATCCAATGGTACTTGTAGTCAAATATTCTTTTTTCAAAATATATAATATTGTTTGCATATTATGATTTTTATTTACCTTAGGTTTTTTTTTTTTTTATACAACAAGGCAAACAAGCTGACGGCCAACCTGATGGAAAGTGGTAACCGCTGCCTATGGACATAAAAGAGTATACTGTTTCGCCCATAACCCGTGCGTTACAACTTTGTCCTGATTTCGACCTAAAAATACCATGCTTATTAGTTTCGCGTCCTGATTTATCGATTCTAAAGATGGCAACCCTATCCGTAACTAAAACCCTGCACGCGTCGCCATGTTACTGAAATAATTAAGAGCCCTCCAGATACCATTGTGACCGCTTTTGTCTGATACGAGCCCTATTCGAATATATTTATTACCAGCGATGTGATCCGACTGTCGCACGAGTAGACAGATTTTCGAAAATCAAAACGGATAATAAAAAATGTTTCAGCCAGTTCAAGTGATCGGTTATATTGTAGCATTTTATATGTGATTCGGCAACACGCGAAAATTACTGCACCAAATTGAATGCGGTTCTCACAGCTGTATTCGTGAAAGTGAAAATTAAAAAAAACCTGATGTATGTTTTGCTTTGATACACCATCTGGCAGTAATTATATATATAAATAATAACTACACAAATAAATTGAAACCATAAATTTTAAACTGAAAATCTTTTTTTTTTTATATTTTATTTTATAGACTATTGTACACACTAATTATTATAGTATTATATATAAAAATATGAAAGAGGTAATCAAGTGTACAAAGGCGAGCTTAACTCTAAAAGAGTTCTCTTCCAGCAACACCCAAAGTGGAAAGGAGCATCAATGTCAGCCGGTAGAGAGGTATACAATACTGTGATAATTTACAAACAAAAATATAATACATATTTTAAATTCGTATTTCTATTAATTACAAAATATAGCACTATTTTTTTTTTATGAGACGACAATGGAATTGTAACCCCGTCTGCGCTATCGGTATACACTGACGGGGCAACAATGAGGGATGGTGGATGAAGATGAAGCAGGCCAGTTGGCCAATCGTGACAAATTTATAAGAATTGATCGCGGCGGTTTCCAAGGGGTACCTCCAAGGGTTCCCTCTAGAAACCATCGTGAAGAATCGGTCAGGTCAGGTCAGGTCATCGTGACGAAAGCAGGTCAGGTGCTAACTGACCTGCGGGTCTACCATGAAATGTAATCCCGAAATTTCGGACTCAATTTCGTGTTTTTGTTTATACCAAAATCGGACCAATAAATAGAGTTTAACATTTCGTTCGTCATACTCGTACATCCTATCATAAAAGTCCAAAGGAACAATATTTTAACATTTTTAATATTTCCAAACGGCATGTATTATGTAATTTTAACATCAAATTTGTTTTTCGTTTGGCTCCGAATTTTCGGTTAACATTTCATGTTAGGCCCTCTGCTTTCATCGTCACCTATCATCTCTCACTGGTGCCCTGCCAGCGTACACTGATAGCACAGATGGGGTTACCATTCCATTATCGCCCATGAAAAAAAAACTCTGTGTCCTCGTTGCGAATTCACGATTTTTTTTTATTACATAAAATTTGCATTTTCCGATTGCAAATTTCGTATACATCGATATGGGTAATCTCTCATTACCCACGGCCCGTTGTTCCGGTCCCCCGGCAGTCTATTAGACAGTCAATCATCCTGCCATTCGGTTCCGGCCGCGTCCGTGTCGGTACGCGAACTAAACGGCTGGGTGGCCGGCCCGGAGCGTTGCTTAATTCGTCGCGAATTAGCGCCACCTAACGAGAGATACGCGTGAGAAAAAATATCGCTTCAATTAATGTTTTTTTTTTTTTAATATTAATTTTCAAAATAAAAAAAAAATAATTAGAAAGGAATGTTAAGTTCGCAGTTACTCAATTTTGTATAATTTTCTATTTTTCTAAATCCTAGACGCAAGATAATTTTGTCACTAATCACAATATGAATAAAGAGGGGGGGGGGGCGATTGTTAGTAATTCGGATTACTAGTCCCATTACTAGCAATATACCCTGTCAGGTCGGCCTCCACGTGGCCTGGAAACCATCGTGCTGAATTTGAAATATATTTATGACGATGGGCTAACTGACCTGCTCTTTCATTTTTATTTATCATCCCTCACTGATGCCCGTATACCGAGTGTATACCGATAGCGCAGGCAGGGTTACCATTCCATTATCATCCATTACCAGATTTACCAGAGGGAGACTTTGTACAAAAGTCGATTGCTTGGGTACCTCTGTCCCATTCGTGTTTCAACCGTGAAGCAGTTGTGATTGCATGGCTGTGTTTCAGTTTGAAGGGTGGGATATGGCGTGAATTTACAGGGTACAGAGGAATAACACCTGAGTCCTCAGGAATAGCAACGCATGGGGGGTATCATGGGCGAAACAGTATACTCTGTTATGTCCATGGTACTGCTCATGTCTATAGGCGACGGTTACCACTTTCCATTAGGTGGGCCGTCAGCTTGTTTGCCATTGTAAGTTGAATAAAAAAAAAATAAAAAAAAAAATTGTATAAAAAAACCAGAATTTATGTTTCTGCAAACCCCCGGGAACTATGTACTTACATAATACTTGTGGCTTGTAAAACTGTTAGATACTCCATGTTTTTATGTCCTGAATACATAAAACGATCAGGTTTTATGAAAGTTTACCATAAAAAGCTATTGGCACAACTGAAATATAATTTGTGTATTTTATTTTATCATATATATATATATATATATATACACACACACACTAGTTTTCCATCAGAAAAAAAAAATAATAAAAATCGGTTCAGTTGGTTACATAATAGCGTAACGAAGAATGGGAGAAAAGTAAAATAAATATAATGAAATAAAATGAGTTTATATGCGATAAACAACCTTAAAATTATTAATAAAAGTCACATAATACTATTATGGCATATATTTACTTGCTTTAAGCGATTAAACCACTTTCTTATTGATAGGAAATTTTATTTTTTGCAATCAAATGGAAATCAATTTTATTTATGTTCTGAAAATGGTAAGCGTCGTTCATATCATCCATGGTATTCCACATTTGATGCCTCTACTAAGGATTAAGGTCTACCCCCCTCGCCCTCCACCAAAATATATGTCGTAAATATTTGCCGTGTGCTCCCGGCATAGAATAGACCACCCCGTCCTGTCCCGTGGATGCTGTAAGAGATAACTAAGGGAGAGCGAGGGATGGATAGTAGCGTCCCTTTTAAAACATCGCCAAAGCCTAACTGTGATTGCCAATCCGGCTACCAAGCGTGTGAATGTCTGGCAAAACCTCCCAAGGGGAAAGCTTATGTTCAGCAGTGAACATTTAATGGCTGATCCTTCCTTAGTCGCATCTTACGACACCCACGGGAAAGGAAGGGGTGGCCTATTCCATTACCATTCCATTATCGTACATAAAAAATAGCCTTAAGCCGCAAGGAATGGATTATTAATATTACGGACTACCAGTCCCATTGCTAGCAATATACCCTGTCAAGTCGACCTCTACGTGCCCCCCCCTGGAAACCGTCGTATTGAATTCAAGGTGTATTCATCACGATGGCCTAACTGACCTGCCTTTTCATTCTCATCTATCATTCCTGACTGGTGCCCCACCAGCGTATACCGTTAGCGCAGGCGGGGTTTCCACTCCATTATTATTCATTAAAAAAATAGCCTTAAGGCGGCCCTGGATAACATGTTGTGTTTGCGACACATGTTTTTGTGAATACTACTGTCGCGACATCTATACAAGCAAAAGTCACGTTTTTACACACGGAGAAGAAATAAAATAGCCTCACTTGTTCGTTAACTTGCATTCTTTCAATTTCGAGCACAGATAACGTTCTAAACAGGGAGTCTACCATAAAATGAAATTCGAAATTTTCGGACTCAATTTCGTATTTTTGTTTATACCGAAATTGTCCAATAAATGGAATTTAACATTTCGTTCATCATAAATCCTACTATAAAAGTCCAAAGGAACGATATTTTAACATATTTTTTATATTTTTAAACGGTATGTATTATTTAATTTCAGCATCAAAGTTGCATTTCGTTAGATCCCGAAATTTCGGAAAACATTTCATGGTAGGCCCTCATAGATTTCGAACGATCCCCGAACAACATGCCCTCTCTCATTTTTAAACGGCTTGAAATGAAAGAAGATTCTCAATTGACCGTATTTTTTGTGTAAGACATTTTAAAACTACTCTACTATTTTTTGATGATTCTTTTTGCAATCGGCAGTCTTGACTCTCATGTTGATCTTACTTATAATAATATTATTTAGATAGATTTTAATTTTTTCATTTGAAACAAAATCTTTAATTATAAGCGTCTTCAAACCAACTCGCAGTTACACTATCGTTATACAAATTTTTACTATCAATATTTATATAAAGCATTTAATGCACTGCTATTACCATTACGAAGTAATCACTGACTCACTGATTACTAATGCTAATAAATTATAAGCGGTATCAATACAAACATTAAGATTACAAACTATTCGTGTGCCGTGATCCCTCTAATGCCACCCTTGGCAAACTTTATTGACCGAGACAGAGTTAACAAAATAAATGGCTCAAATTTCTACACCCGTAATGAATACATAGGAGGGTAGATGAATAAATCATTGTTGCATTTTGGACTGTACCAGCAAGGGTGGGGTTTGAGGTATAGGCGGCAGCGGTTAAAATACACAATATGGTGTTTATTAGTGTGTTACCTTTTAGGCTTTCTCGGTTCATGTTGTTTATTACAGTACTTCTTTAACAAATAAAAAAAAACTGATAACGTTTTTGTTCAATTCTATTGAAACATATTATAAGCTTTTTGTTTTCAATTGACTTCACGAAGAAGGAATATTTTGTTATGTATGTAGGTATGTTAGCTCATAACTCCTTTAATTCTAAACCTATTTAAAAATTAAGATAGATACCTATAGTAATTTTATCAAAATCGGTTCAGCAGTTTAGGTTTTCTCAAAATAACTGATTTAGTCAAAATTGTAGTCGATTTTTTTGATCTGTTAATTCCTGTCTTTGATAAAACTTAAAATACACCATTTAAACATTGTCCTGTTATAAAAATTAACGCTTTAGTTCTGATTTCTTTAGTAATTTAATCGATTAACGAGTAGTTTAGTAAAAAAATACACTACTCAACCGATACAGAATAAAGTTTTCATGTTCATATGAATTTTGACCGTTTACATTTATCATGTATTTAATTTTAATACAATACCACAAATATATGATTATTTAAGAACTCATTAATGTTATTATTTACAAACTATTTATATTACAAATAATAACATTTTATGATACAATTATAGCTACCAATGCCTATAAAATTATTTATCGCCCTCATTATTGAGTTTAAATAAACAAATAACAATTGTTATGGATTTGTTATCTTTCTATAAATAAAATGATATTCCTTTCAAATAAATATTTATATTTATATATCACTTAAATGTATAAGAAATAATAATGGTTCTCTAGATTGAGTGGAAGAAATCCCTCCAATAGAGAAATCCTTTTATGTACTTTGTCATACTTTCCCATTCGTAACCTATTTTTATTTTTTTCTAATATAATTGCGCAAAGGAAATACTTGATGTTATGTCGTATAAGGAGATCTTAGATATGAGCTGGCTGGAAGAAATTACCTAAAGTAGTTGCCTTGAAAAGAGAAAACTCTTAAATAAAAAAAAACTGTGCAATAAAGTTTACACATATGAACAAATTTTTAATACTATATGATGGTGAGTCCTCGCTGTTTTCGGTCACAGCGATCGCTTTGATTCCGCTATTAATAATTAATTGTCCGCATAGGGAACTATTAGATTATTTGTTGGTGGCGTTAATGTGCTTAAAAAAGCCAATCCTTTTAACTAAAGTTTTTGTAAATAGCAAGCATGAAAACACACCGTCGCTTTTGTAATTGTAATATTTTGCTGCTGGTGGTTAAGCTTTTATTTCGTCTCTATTTGCGTCAAGTTGAGAAAGACGTGAAATTTCAAAATTATTATTTTTTTATTTTTGTTAGAGCAGTGGTTCTAACAATTATCGTATATTGGACATCCGAAATAAACGAACGTTTAAACACGCTTATCATTGAGCGAGGGCGATAAGTGGACTTATCGCCCTCGCTCACTCTCGTAACTTGTACCATACGAAAGAAAAGCGGCACGCGTCGCTACACCGGATGTCGATGACGAGCGCGTGCGCCGACGATTCCAACGCTCAATGGATCATACGGAGGCGCACTTAAAACATTTTTATTGTAACCCGCCGGCTACCATTGTCAGCTCCCTTCTTTCAAGACACCCCCTCGTTATGCGAGATTTTGATGCATAATTAGAAATTTTGTATCTAATTTATGAATCGAAATTTCATAATCTGATATCAAAATATCAGTATGACTGGGCGTTTATATGTTTAGTATGTATGATCAATATTTAAAACATTTTTTATAATTCTTAAAACAGTAAATAAGTAGCCGACTACTTTTTTTTTTTTTTTTTTATGCCACTTAGAATGGCAAACAAGCTGACGGCCCACCTGATGGAAAGTGGTAACCGTTGCCTATAGACATGAGCAGTACTATGGACATAACAGAGTATACTGTTTCGCCCATGATACTCCCCATGCGTTGCCACTCCTGAGGACTCAGGTGTTACTCCTCTGTACCCAGTAAATTCACGCCATATCCCACCCTTCAAACCGAAACACAGTCATTACCTGGTACTTATTTACCTGGTGGAAAACGGTAACCATCGCCTATAGACATTACCATCATTATGGATATACAAAATGCACTGTACTGTCCATGCCATGATAATCCTCGTATGTTGGTATTCAGATATAAACTGTATTCTATATGCTGCCTTATTCTAAAATACAATTTTGATTTCTTAAAATAATTTGCATGTTTTAGTTATATAATATCAACTTTTTATTTTTATAAAAAAAAAATAATGACATTTAATAAGTCTAGTCCTTATTCTTTGGCAGACATCACTTATGTCATCTTTTTTAAAGATTTATTTTATTTTGTTAAAATTATTAAATTTATAATATTAATGCAAATAAATACACAAATATGGCTAACAAAGAATATTACGAACGCTGGTTAAAAATCAAAGAGCAAATGAAGACAACTCTATCTGAAGACGAGAGACTTAATGAGTTAGCGACATTGTTTGTCGGCATCAAACCGCAGGCAACTGCTGTCGAAATAGTTGCCAGAGTGTACAGTAAGTATTGTGAACTCTACAACAAACTCTGCGATTGTTACGACCAAATGGAGCAAGTTCAAAGACGACAATATATAAAGAAGATTATTGATGCTGTAACTTGCAGGCTGCTTGAGCTGAAACGCACTTTGGAAGAAGTCGAAGTTTTCGAATTCACTTATCCAGATAATGCCTTGCAACAATTGCTAATGGTGCCACAGGACATAAAAATCCTTTGCCCATTTTTCTATCCATTTGAAATACGGCAACAGGAAATGCAGTACATTATAGATCAAATATTTGCTGGTAATCGAATTGGTGATCCCACTCCAACCCCTTCTGAAATTAAATGTAAGGAAGAAGAGCGCTTGGAAGAAGAAAGAAGGAAACAAGAAGAGAAAGATGCTGAAATAAAAAGAATGATTGCCATGGGAGAAGACATATCACTCTCTGACACATCTGTTGTTCTTTCTCCCCAAGAATTAGAAGAAATAAGATTGAGAGAAGAATATGAAAAGCATATTAATAATATACAAAGGATGGAAAGATCAAGATTGGTGACAAGAAATAATGTACATAAACGTAACAAAGACATAAATTTATACTTAGAACTGGCTGGAATAAAAGCTCCACAAGTAAGGGAAGAATTAAGAATTAGAGCAGCTATGTTTATTCAAAAAGCATATAGACGTTTTATGGAAATTAAAAGAGAGAAAAACAAAGATATTCAACTCAGACAAAAACTTGGTATGATAATGCCTTCTTGGTCTCCACCATCTGCATATATTCAATTAGAAAAAGTTAAAGAACAACGAAGAAATTACAGGCGTAAGTATTATGAGAAATGGATGGAAGAGAATATTAAGGAAAATGCACGCGTTTTGAGATTACGTGAAGGTGATATAATGGAGGATATATCATCAGAAATTAGACAATGGTTTCAGGAATGGTATCATGAAGTAAGACTCTTTGACGAGTTTCCTTGGCCCGAAGAAGGGGGATCCATTTTAGTCGTAAAAGGTGAAACATTTACTATAGAAGAATACATTGATTGGCGAACAGCAGAAGAAAAAAGGTTGAAAGCTGAAGCTGAAGCGCCGAAGACTAAAGAACAAATAAAAGCAGAAAAAGTTGCTGCACGAGAAGAAAAAAAGCGACTAGCATTTGAGGAAAAGGAAAGAGAAAAAAAACGGTTACTAGACTACAAAAAAACAAGACTCAATCCCGATAACGATCCTGGTATATACATAAGTATTGGTAAAACTTTGGAACACCTACAAAGTGCGTGGTTGGACTATCAAAATCAATGGCAAAGTATTGACAATGCGGATCCTTCCAAGGATGCTGTAAAGGGTTATATTATGCAACTCGTAACAGAAAATGCTTATAAAGACGTACAACTACAACTTCGTCCTATAGTGGATGAAATGATGAAGTTAGAGTTGAATTTGTTGCGGAATTCTCTTAAAGCTGACTATCTAGCTGCAGGTATTGCCAAACCACCACAAAGTAAAAAAAGAAAGAAGCCCAAGAAAGTGAAACCACCGAGGCCAGACAAAATTAGCCCGGCATCAATGTTCCAACAACTAGTAGATGAAGGCATTGTAAAAAAATACCCTCGTACTACGCTTGATGATTATTGGGGAGATCGAAATTACGCTGCAGCTGATATGAGAGCTGTGCTCTGGACTCCCTCCTTCCCACTACCTTGTATTGGAGATGTGAGAGAACAAGTAAGAAACAGATGTCTCTTGACTCTCGGTTCCTCGTGTCCTAATGCGATAAGAACTCAACTGCTCGTAGGCCCTCAAGCTGCAGGTAAACGAACTCTAATACATGCTATAGCAACTGAAACAAATTCTATTCTTATAGATCTTTCACCGATGAATGTGTATAATAAATTCCCTGGACCGAAAAACTTAAAAACCATGTTTACATTTGTGAACAGAATAAGCAAACTAATGCAGCCCACTGTGATCATGGTGGACAATGCTGACAAATTATTCTATAAGAAAGTTCCAAAGGAGGAAAAAATATTCGATCCGACCAGATTACAAAAAGACTTTTATAAGGAAGTGATAAAACCTATTCAATCAAACGATAAAATATTAGTACTTGGAACAGCTACAGAGCCCTGGTTTGCCAAGAATCCCCTTATGTATAAATCGTTTCCTTCCCTTATTCTCATTCCGAGAACTGATTACGGAAGTCTATCACTGGTACTGACGAAGATTCTTATGAAATACCATGGAGTTGATCGTGATTTTAACGTTCATTCAGTGGCGCAAGCTCTGCGAGGTTACGATATAAATACAATAAGGAAAGCAATAGATAATTTGATGGATGGAAACCGAGTGGCACAGCTATATAATAAGCCATTAGATCCAATGGAAGTAGTTAACGCGGTCTTAGACTTTAAAGGTGCAAAGTTCACTGACGCGGAAGACTTTGAAATGTTCCAGCAGTGGTACAACGGTTATTCACCATGGGGCCAGAAATATATGGATTACTTGTTGATGTTAGAGTCGCAGTACTTATACAAGTTGAAGAATGACAAGAAGAAAAAATAATGATGTTATGATCATTACCACAGCGTTCTTGTTGGCCGTTTTATTTGGGTTATCTTTTACAGTACACTTACTGTAATGTTAAAATAAAAATATTGCAGTTTTTTTTCTTTGATTATTTATATTATATACCACTATATATATGTAAAATCCTCGTGTCAAAGTGTTCGTTGCCATACTTCTCCACTAAAGCTTAACCGATTCTGATGAAATTTTATTTGTATAGTCGATAGGTCTGAGACGAAGTTGTTTTCTATTTTTTCCTAGAAATGGCAAAACAATGTTTGTGAGGTCAGCTAGTATTATATATAAGCCGTGTGGTCCTGGCATAAAATAGGTCACGCTTTCTTTCCCATGGATGTCGTAAGAGGTGATTAAGGGAACGCGGGGGATGGGTAACAGCATCCCTCTTAAAACATCTCCAAAGTTTAACTGCGGTTGTCAATCCGTCTGCCAAGCTTGGCAACTACCGGTAAAACCCCTTTGGCCTATGTTTAGCAGTGGACAGTTAAAGACTGATATGATTTATATATTGCAATAATAAGTTTCAAGTAAACCAAATACTAGTATTAGAATTAAATTAATCAATCTCAAACGTACCAGTCTCTTAGAACACTCCTTGGATTAATGATTAGAATGATACCCTTTCACTCAATACATCATTAAAATGCTAAAAAAAAATTATCCGTTTGTATGTTCAAACTGTAGTCGAAACCAATATTGTATTCCTTTATTCAAAAAAAGAAGACAATTCTCAATTTAACTTTATCAAAAATTTTTTGATAAAGTTAAATTTATTTCACAAAAAATTAATTGCATTGTACGAAATATTTTTGGAAGCACAATACCAATTTTTATAATTCTTTTGTCAATCAATCGTATTTACTACCATGATACTCTTTTTCAGGTGATTTTCAGCAAATGAGATGTCTAATTTCTGTAAACTTTTTTGATTTTGTGTCTTCAGAAAATTTATAGTTACCAAAAGGCATTTTTATTAAAAAAAAATCTTCTATATTTCATCGAAGACGTCGGTTTCTCTGAGGGCTCTAAGTTGAAACCATAGTTGAAAGATCCAATAAAATTAGATAGGCGTCGCAATTGCTGAAAATGGACCTTTTAATTTAGTATGCTTGAAGTCGTTGTCGTAACATACAATATAAAAAAATAATCATATCAAAAACATTTAATTCCTTGCCAGTTAAAAAATTACTTAACACAAAAAGTAACAAAAATTATATAATAAACTAAAATATGCAATATTTTTTATTAAATTTTCTTGAAATAGCAGCACCGTCGTGATGCTTATAGAATATTCCTTAAAGGGGCTTGCTCGGAGGTGTGCTAAATTATAACTGCTACTACATTATGCCACCCTCGATTTTGACAATTCTATGAATTAGTGATAGAGGGCGCTAACAACGAAGCGTACTTTTGTTCAATCTACATTTTATAGATAGAGGGCGTTATTTGTAATTTATAAAATATTCCCTTGTTTAAGCATTGATTTAGTTTATCAGAATACAATATATATTTAACAATTTTGTTAAATATATTACTCAGATATGTATGCTTTGAACCTGTAACTAACTTTTCTCATGGTTTCACGCGTAAAAATTTGTTTTAATTTTTTTGGGAATTTAGATTATTTAGCAGTTGTACTACAGATATTTTTTTTAATGGGTGATAATGGAATGGTAACCCCACCCGCGCTATCGGTATACACCGGCGGGGCACCAGTGAAGGATGATAGGTGAGGATGAACCAGGTCAGTTGGCCCATTGTGACAAATTCAACAAGAATTGTTTAAGATGGTTTCCAGGGGGAACGACGTGGAGGTTGACCTAATAGGGCATATTGCTAGCAATGGGGCTATCAAACTCCATTGCTAACAATCCCTTTACCCCAATGTTAGATATTGTTATACTCTACCAGAAACATCAGTATAAATGTTTAGGAGGAGTGTCTCCTTCTGAGGTTCCTGGTAGATACTTGACAGTGGTCAAGCACTGTTGAAGTACCATAAATCTATAATTTTAAATAACTTCATAGTTGAAAAATACGTGAATAACTTTTCAAGAAATAATATACTGCTAACAGTCTAGCGTTGGGAAAAAAGGGATTGTTAGTAATGTAGACTAAGAGTCCCATTGCTAGCAATATACCTAACCAGGTCGACCTCCTCGCGGTTCCTCCTGGAAACTATCATGATTAATTCCAGATGAATTCATCATGATGGACTAACTGGCCTGTTTTCATCCTCATCGATCATCCTTCACTAGTGCTTCGCCAGCGTATCCCGTTAGCGCAGGTTACCATACCATTTTCTCCCATCAAAAAAAAAAAACCCGATTAAATTACTAAAGAAATCAAAACTAAAGCGTTAATTTTTATAACAGTATAATGTTTAAATGGTGTATTTTAAGTTTTATCAAAGACGGGAATTAACAGATCAAAAAAATCGACTACAACTTTGACTAAACCAGTTATTTTGAGAAAATCGAAAAAAATAAAAAAGGAGATTTCCAAATAGGTTTAGAATTAAAGAAGTTATGAGGTAACATACCATTCCATTTTCATCCAATAAAAAAAAATAGTCTAGCGTTACCATATATGGTATACCAACAGGCGCACTACGAGGTTTGTCCGGAAAGTACGTATAAAAGTTTTTTAAAAATTTTATTTTACAATTATTCAGGTAAATCAATTTTATCCCCTTCAAAGTACTCCCCCTGTGACATAATGCACTTGTGCCAACGCCGTTTCCACTGTGAGAAGGCTCCTTGAAAGTCCTCTGGTTGTAGGTTTCTCAGCTGCCCCGTCGTAGCTTTTTTTATCTCATTTATGTCCCCCAAATGCCGCCCCCGAAGTACCAATTTGGTTTTTGGGAACAAGAAGAAGTCACACGGGGCCAAATCCGGCGAATAGGGGGGGTGTTCGGTCACCGTAATGGAATTTTTACTCAAAAACTCACGGAACGATCTTGGCGCAAATTTTTTTCATTTGAAGTTCGTTTCTTAGAATTTCGTGGACCACGGTTTTGCCCAAATTAAGCTCTTCAGCCACCTGTCTGACCGTTAAACGACGGTCCCCATTAACACAAGTTCGAATTCTTTCCACGTTTTCGTCGGAATGTGAAGTGGAAGGACGTCCTGAACGTGGGTCATCTTGAACGCTTTCTCGGCCCTCTCTGAATCTTTTTAGCCACTTGTGGACGGTTGGTTCCTTCACAGCATCATCCCCATAAACTGTTCTGAGATCGGCAAAAATTTCACGGCCATTCTTGCCGAGTTTCGAGAGAAACTTGATTACGACGCGCTGCTCTTCAACGGAAGCGGGCTCCATGCCGACGGGGTTTCGTTAAGAGGTAACTTCACAGATGGCGTGACAAGCCAGTTCGCACCGCACAGCGGTCAGACCAGAACTGAAGCATTGTTAGGGACATAAGGAAGGGGTCCTGCGCTTACCTGGCCTCCCCACTCCTCTTTCTCGCATTCCAGAACACTTTTATACGAACTTTCCGGACAGACCTCGTACATGAAAGTATTTCATTACATAAAATATACATAATAATTAGTATATATCATTATGAGGTCGTGTGGTCTCGTCATAGAATGGACCACCCATTCCTTTCCAGTAGGTTTTTCTTTACAACACAGGGGGCAAACGAGCATAAGGCTCACCTGGTGGTAAGCGACTACCGCCGCCCATGGTCACCCACAACACTAAAGGCATTGCAGGTGTACTGCCGGCCTTTCAAAAAGGAATATGCTCTTTTCTTGAAGGTTATGTTGTCGTATCGATTCGGAGATACTGCTACTGGAAGTTGATTCCAAAGAGTGGTTGTGCGTGGGAGAAAGTGCCTTGAAAAACGCACGGTGTCACTTACCATCAGGTGAGCCGCATGCTCGTTTGCCCCCTGTGTTGTAAAAAAAAAACTACTCGACGGATTTTAACGAACCTTGGTACAATTATTCTTCATACTCCTGGGCAGGTTATAGTATACTTTTCATCACGCTACGATCAATAGGAGCAGAGCAGTGAAGGGAAATGTTGGGAAAACGGGAGAAGGTACTCTATTTTTAAACTTCCGTCGCGTGTGCAGCGTTAATGGCCACTTTTTAAAATGTAAAAATGTCCACGCGTGCGAAGCCGGGACGGGCCGCTAGTATGTTTAATAACAGAAGTAAGAGAAGTTTCAGCCAAATCGTATGATGACAAGTAACTGAAAAATTAATGATAAATTTTGAACACATACTGAGTCTCCCTAAGTAAGCGAATCCAGGTATCGTGTTAGTATGTTTATATGTACCTCTTTTACATTTTTAAATCACGTTTTTTTTTGTAATAAAATATGTAATAATACTGGCCTTATAGCGGCTGAATCTCCTTAAGTAAGCGAATCCAGGTATCGTGTTAGTACGTTACTGAGTCTCCCTAAGTAAGCGAATTCAGGTATCGTGTTATGTTTATATGTATCTTCTTAATTGATTTTCAAATCACGTTTTTTTTTGAAAAAAATATGTAATAATACTGGCCTTATAGCGGAGGCCTATGTTCAGTAGTGAACACTTAATGATGAGATACGATGATGATGATGATGATCACTTCTATTTCATTTTAAAGATCATTTCAGATCACTTTGTTGTTAAATTTCATTTCCCTGTAATAAATAAAAAACCTATAATAATTTCAATAGATGACTCTGCTAGTCCTTCTTAGAAATATCATCGGACAATGTTGAAAAACATATAAAAACTTTGTCGTTTTTATCGGAAATATAAATAACAAATAAGACTTCTACCTAATTTGATTTAAAAAAAAAAACTCTTTTTTTATATAAATTTGTGTGGCTGTTGTCGTATGTCCTAACATTGGCAAACTTGAAACTATTATATGAGAACATAGATATAACTTAGTCTAAGTGCCTATTTTTCCATTTAAAGTTATATAAAATTGTAAAAAAAAAGATATTTTCAATTAAACTTTACATTTATAACTGTAACAGAGATATAACCGTGAACCATCTTAGATATTGAACAGCAA